CAAAGGCGGTAAGAGCGAGGGCGGCGGGAGCAGGAGGTGTCCGTCCGCGGACCGGGAGTACCGGGGGTCTCGGGCCAGTAGCGATGGCCTCTCGGCGGCCTCTGGGCCTCGCTGGGGGTCGGAGGCAGTGGTGGCTCAGAAGGGAGGAACGGGGCAGCGGCAGGGACCGAGGGCCTTGTGCTGGGGCTGAGGGGGGCGGTGAAGCTAAACTTCTGGTCGGGCTGTTTGTCTCAGCTGAGTTTTAATAGGCTTCGGTTCGGGTCACAGCTTGTTTTTGCTTGCCTTTCCTTCCTCTTCCGGCTTTGTTCGGTGAGCTCTGGCTCTGGCTCTCTGCATCCTTGTAGGATTAATTCTTTATCTCCATTAGCATTGGAGATGCATCAATCAGCTTGAGAGCCAAAGCTCTGGCTTTACAGTAGGAGTATATATTTGCTAGTGGTTATTAGGAGAAAACTTAACTTTGTTCTGTGCTCAGGTTGAGCGTGCTTTTACGTCTTGTTTGAAGAGGTCCTGTATCAATCCGCAGCATTCCCCTTACCAGCTGTATTTCAGGAGCCGACTTTGGAGGAGTTCAGAGTTAGTTACGTGTTGTTTGCTCATCTGGCACTTCACCAAAGTGTCACAGCTGTCATTGCAAACAGCTTTTTTTGCTGACATAGCAGTTCATGAGGAGCCATTATGGTTCCTGTCCTCTGTCTTTTCAAGGTAAGAGCCGAGCCGCCTCCAGTTCTCCACAGCTGTTTGGGAGCAGTGTTCCTGGCAACCGTGCATTTTTTTCTAAAACCTAGAAATGGGACAGTGGTGATTGAAGCGAGTGGTTTTAGTCCCCGAAGTACCCGTGAGAGTATCAACAGGTTGCTACAGTACCATCGCTGTGCTAATTTCCTTCCTCCTCAGTGGTTTGTTTAAACTCTGTTACTTCAGGTCTCTGAGGAAGCAACGATGTATTCCAGAGAGTTAACAAAGTGACCATCTTGAAGGTGTTGACTCCTTTTTGGACTTTCTAAGCGCACTCAGATCCCGGGTGACCAAGTATTACGTGCTCTTCACCTGCAGTACCTGCTCCTTCGCTGAAGTGAGCAACATGGGAGGTGGCTCACCCACAGCCCCCCAGATGGTGGTGTGACTGTGATTACAGTGAAGTTTTAACTTCAAGTTTAAACACATAAAAGTCTTTTTAGGAAGAACTTTTGAGGCAGTTATTTCTGGAAGAACTCCTAACTGATTTGCCAGGTTTTTTGCATCAGCAACAGTTTTTGATGTTGAGGGTCTCACTGTCCCTAGCTGCTGTTCTTTTTCGGTGCCTTATTTCATTTTTGGACCAATGGAAGCAGGTGTTTCATGTGCTAGAGGTGCAGTGAGAGTTTCAGAACCAGATCTTTGGCCTCTGATGGAATAACAAAGTATGCAGACCTCTCTGTGCAGGTTGTGAGAGGCAGTGGGAAAGGCTTGCAGACGGGAGCTTTCGCTGTTGTGGAGAGCTGGTTCCTGTCCCCGTCTCGCCAAGAGATACCTCATTGTACAGCTGCTTTTTCAGTGATGTCTGATGCTGCGGAGAGGGTTGTTCCCAGAACATAAACATCCTTCAGTAAGGAGTTAGCATGGCCTGTCCTGTGGCTGCTATGCCTGAAGTGATTTTGTGGAGTGCCGCCTTTTACAGATTTGAAACAATGCAGAGGAGCAGTGAGGAGAGAAACCTTGATGTGCTTTTACTCCAGTTCAGTAGACTGACTTTTAATTTAAAAAAAAAACCAAAACTAAAACAACTTTTTAGAAGACCTCTTTTTAATAAAACAGAAGAAAATTCAGGCTTGAACATAATTCGGCTTCCAGGATGCTTGTTTCTTAACTATGATGGAAGGCAAACAGGTATGGAGTGAGTTGCTTCCTTCATGGTGCATCAAAGCAGCCTGGCAAAATTAGAATCTCCTTTAGTCGAAGTAGATGTGTATTTGCAGGTGGTGTAACTGGAGCGTACTGAAAGCTGAAACAAGAAGGTTCTCTTGGTCAGATTAGGGCAAACAAGCACAGGATGAGCGCAGGGGATGCGGCTGTGTTAAACTGTGGCTATGTTTTGGTAGCTGTTGCGTGCAGGACGCTGGCATGTCTCCAGATGGGATTTTTTCTTGAGTTCCTTATCATTCTACATGTGGCTGCTGTGGTCCACCCAGTTTCTCTCCTGTTTCAGGAAACATATAGGAGGTATTTTGGAAATCTTGTGTCTCCTTTAGAATGGAAAGTATTCTTGCTGAATAAACCCTCCCAAAATGGTGACCTCTTGTTGCATCATCGACTTTTGCACTGATGGTCGCTGGATTTGAGTCTAGTCAAGCTCTTGCCATTTAGATGCTTTTCAGAGTTACCCGCTGTGATCAAGTCCAGCAGAAGAAATTAAGAAACGGGTGTTTGTGGAACCTTGCCAT